TATTTTATTTAGTGTATTTTACACTATTTTAAACAATAAAATACATAAGAATTAAATTTTCAAATGTGCATAGCCTGCATTAGAAAGTTTTAAGTTGAAAGTGAAACTTCGATACAGACCCACTGCACTCTAATAATCGTCCTGGAAGTACTTAACCTATTGTTTCAACATAATGATTACCATGTGATCAATTCATATAAACAGTAAAGAAATACAAGATCTGTTTATTATGTTCAATTGAATCGAAGACTTCAGTATTGAAGAGAAGTTACCACAGTTAAAACACAGTAGAAACAGGTCAGTGGTTATGTTTGTGTCATTTTTTTTTAATTGCTTTATTGCGAATTCGAACAAGAAAATATTTTGTCTATTAATTTTCATTTTGCCACTTTTCGGAACTCCCTCCCTAATCTTATTGCCGAATCACCATCATTTGCTTTTTTCCAGACCAAACTTAATTAACACACCTTTTTAACATCTAAACATGTATAGCGCCTTCGGTTTAGTGATATTGGCGCTTTATAAAATTACTATACTACTATTATTATTATTATTATTATTATTGTTATTTTTATTATAATTTTCATATACCTTTAAATTGACATACAGAAATGTTGTTTCGATCTAGGCCTTGTTAGATGTTAATACTTATTTGATCCTTATCAGCAATTCAATGTCTTATTCTCGGTTCACACATGAAAACATGTTACATGTGTCCTGTGTAGCATAAAATTTAGTATCTGTGTGAAAATGCATCCGTGTAAGGCCTGGCAATCACTGCGTCATACGACAGTCCTAGGACCCTCGCACAACGAAGCCAACTTCACTCCCTGCGAGTGCCATCTGCTGATTGTCGGTGGCAGTCTGAATGGATCGTCGAAAAACAATCTGTTGCGTGTGCGTCGGTGCGTTCTTCATAGAATCACGTCGGTCGACGACCATTGTTCGCAGTGAGTGCCTGGCTTTAGATGTCCCTGGTAACGGGGATGTATTGCTCTATCCATTCTATCAAATTTTATGTGATGAATTTGCATGATGTGTCTATATACGGGAATAATGATATCATATTGTGCCCAAATATTTGTCACATAAAATTTTATAGTGTAGGCAGAGCTTTAGAAGAGCAGACATCACTGAGGTCATTTACAATGTCAAGGTATTTAGCATTGACCCTGTGTGCATGGCAACGGTAGCTCAATGTATCTTTTATCTGTGGCATCACATGTTTTAATTGTCTGTGTATAATTTGTACCGACTTTCAGCAATGAAAATATCAAGAAAGTGGTGTATAGCTAGGAATATCTGGGAAGTCTGTGTAATATCCCATGTGTAATACTTTGTCATGTGTAAACAGTGGCTTATCTAGGGGGAGCCCCATGCATCCCTAAACATCCCCCTCCCCTCATTGAATATATTTGAAACAAAAAATCACGCTCAAGTAGATAAAAATCACCTCATATTACCTTACTTTGGGAGATTTTATAGGTTAATTGTTGCCGAGTGTGGTAAGCATTAAATAAATATCTTCATGTTTTCATATTTTTTTTTTTTTTAATGAATTTAGTCATTTTTCATGTAGTGAAAGTGAATATGATATTTTAGCATCTGTCAATTGTCTAAGTAATGAATATATTAATCACCATGAGTTGCGGGATGGGTTTCCAGGAAGTACAGTTTTTGCCACCATTTCATTGGCCTCTTGGGTTTCTACAGGAAAATATATTGACATATGCAGACTACTGTACAGTCCAAAGCAAAACCAACATAATTACACAGGTCAGGTGAATGTAATGGCTGAACATGATCTTTACCTGTAGAATATGTTTTTTTTGTATGGTGTAGTAGTGTACGATAGAGTTGTTCGCATATATTTTACGCCTGAGTGATTGATGTAAGAATAGATGGTAGTGGCAATAGAAACACAGAATGTTACAAATGCTAGTGTTATGATATAAAAAATATGAGCAAAGCAAGATTGGACTTTTTCAGACAGAGGTTCTGTAAGTATTCACTGATTTGTAGCAGTTTTTAAATTTGATTTTTATGGAATGGGGTCTTTAAAATGTGCAAAATAATTATTTATTGCTTATTGTAGGTTTTAATATTAGACGTGATTATATGAGTTCATTGATGCTATGACTAAGCCTCATTGTGAGGGTAATGGGAATGTTATTTTACTGGTTGTAGTAATATCTCGGCTGGTAAGCGCTACATGACTGATAGGCACCACACAGCTAATAGGCGCTACGCAAAAACTGCCAGATGCTGCACGACTGTTAGGCACTACCCAGCTGGTAGGCGCTAGATAACTAGTAGACCTACTATATCCAGAATGATGGTGTTGCAGTGCCTGCATTCATGCTACTAATGCCTCAAAAAATTCTAAATATTACATTTAATTTTACACAGCAGTATGGAAGGGGTTGACACAATTGTGGCACAGATTGTCAACCTTATGTTTGGGTGTTGTAAGTCCTCTCTTGTGCTCGTGGGTGATTTTTTTTGTTTGGCTTAGCAAGTTTGTAGGGAGGAGCACCTTGGAGGCACCACCTTTTTCTAGGAGTTTTGCACATCACACCCGTTCAACTCTTAGGTACGTCACTTTCAGGGTCCTGAGATTGAGGGCACTGAATTTGCCCAAAAAGCCAAGTTACCGTAGTTAAAATATATATTTACTATAATAGAAGTATTTGTTGCAAGGAAATGTAAAAGAAAATAGTCTGGTTCTCAACTCTTTTGGTTTCCATTATATTACATTATATATGTTTCTATACTAAAATTTTGCAAATCGAAGCTAAAAAAATGATACAAAACTGAGAGAGAAAGATTGTCTGACATTTATCCACTTAAAGGTCAGTGATACAAAATATTGATCAATATACCATGCATTAGTACAAATGTCATTGGGTCATGGTTTTTTTTTATGGATCCAGATAGGAGTGACCGCTGGCACTTTTTCGCACGAGATCATAAGCTCTCTAGAAAATGTTTGTGTCTCCCAATGACCACTGAAAATATGTAATAGTGGGAGGGATAGAGCATGTTGTCCCCTGTTTGACTATATCATAATGTTTTGAATTTCTGTCAAAAAATAATAAATTAGATTTTGGTTCTTAATCCCTAACTCCCATTAAATATATTTTGTAGCAGTTCCTTCCAACTTTAATAATTGTAATTCTTACTTTTGCTTGTAAGTTTATAGTACCTTGAAAATAAAAACAAGAAAATATACATGTGAGTGTATAGATGTGTTCTTTATAAATATTATTTTTACAGTTAGTCTTTCTTTTTTCTAAATTTAAGAATTTTTGTTGTAAACAGTCGGTATAATCATCAAAAACTGATTTCTTAGCATTAATGGCTTTTTGGATTCTATTGAAAATAAGCAATTTAATGTTTAGTTGAATATTTTTCTGTATTTTACCAAAACAGGATATATCTGCAGTCCACTTCATACAATTTGTATGAGTGAAATTGCATCTGTAAAGAGGGGAACTACGTTAAGTAGTTGGAACAAGGTCACTAGGGATTTTTGTAGGCAAGTTGTGAGCATGTAAAGGTATATCACACGTTAGTCATTAATTAAAGATCTTCCTTTTCTCGATACCCTCACTTTATCCGGTTTGACCTGCGAAATTTGTCTCCAAAGAAACTCCAAAATTTGTGTTTATTGCATTTTTTCACACAAAACAGTGTAAAATTAATAATAAATTGATAGAGAAGTCACTTAAGTATGTGAAACAACACAATATTATTAAATATTTTAAAAGAAATTATAAAAACCATTGTAGCATTTCCTTAAAAACCATTAATACTTTAGAAATGTCTTAATAGAACTCATACTTTGATAGCTAGATGAAAAGCTTTATTTGCAGAAAGGATAGCTCATTATTTTTTACTTGTTTCGTTCCAATAACTTTCTGTATACACATAGCATCTACATTTGAGCAACAAATTGAAGAAAAGTATAGATTTTCAGATGGATGTTGTTAAAATATTAAACGATAAAACAATTTTATCCTAAAAGTTTGTAATAATAAATTGTTCATGTGTGGAAGTGTACCTAAAGATGATATTGACATTTTAAACAAAGAAGAAAATATGATTTACCTGGACATTTTGATGTCTCAGCTCTCTGTTTCAACTGGCATAAGGTGACCATCAAGGTTATATCGTCCTGCTACAGTATGTTATATAGCTACTGTATAACATATAGGCCTACCCAGGAAAACTAAATTGCATAGTGTTTTTGTTTAGCAAAATATAAAATTCTGAATGATAAAGTTTGTTATCCAGGCTCTGTAGGGAACGTTTTTATATGCTGAACAACTAATATTTTGAAGAAAAACATGGGAATGGTTAATGAGATACAGATTTTTGAATATTTAATAACTGGGGGGAAAAAGAGATGTAACCACCCTTTTTCCCCCCAGTTTTTAAATATTCAAAAATCTGTATCTCATTACTGTTGCCAACTTTTTCGTCAAGTACTGTGTCTTAGAAAAATCAGTTGTACAACATAAAAATATTTTTCCTCCGGAGCTGGCTTTAAAGGATTAGACTTTAATGTAAAGTGATAGGGAGGTTTCGATTGCATGACAACAGTAAGCCCTAGAACACGATAGTGTCAATGTGCATGTGAGAGTGTTAAGTTATTGTTATTGTTAAAAGTTATTTTGGATACTAGGATGCAGTTTGGCACGAAACAATTACTGCAAAGAAAGTAAGATGGTCACAGGTGAGGGTATGTCTTCATGAAAATCCTTGATTAAGATACTTTGCTGTGATTATCTTGTGTCAGATGAGACATTAAGTCGTTGGTGACGTTTGTCCAAAAGCAAATGCGCTCAAATCAGAATGCAGTACACAAGAAGAATAGGGGATTTTCTCCTTTATGGTAGTGCTTGCATTGTGGCTGCTATATGGGACCCATTTACATAACATTTATTTTGTAAATTTTGGCATTTTAATGCTGACCATTAACCTTTATTTTATTTCAGATGAGAGGGAAAAGTTACGGAAAGAAGTGGAACCGCAGATTCTTCAGGCATGTGCAGATGGGAACCTATCCGAGCTAAAAGCTCTGTTAAAGCGAGTGGGCCTAGCTGCCATCAATAAGGACTACCAGGAGGGAGTCACACCCCTTTTTAAGTAAGAGTCAATTTGTGCTTTTTATCTTTTTTGTAGATAACTGTATGACTGCAATTTCATTCAGGAAGTATGATTCATATGATCATTGTTATTCTCAACAAAACAACAGTTCTTTTAAGAACTATCTATATGGTGACGTTCCACAAGCATTTAATATATTATTATTATTATTATTATTATTATTATTATTATTATTATTATTATTATTATTATTATTATTGTTATAACTAATTATATGCAGTTATAATTATAATTACTAATATTGTTGTTATTATTAATGGAAAAATATAGTTTAAAAACAATTTACACAGTACTGTACAATATACATTTGTATCATTTATAGACCTTTTTTGCAATTACAGGAAGTTATTTTTATTAGTTATTATAGTACTATTTATTATCATTATTATAAATATGGAAAAAGAAACTAAATATGCATGTATAAGTTAGAACGTGCTATAATTTTTTGTTGTTGTTTATCTCAAATTGTAGTTCAAACTATTTGATGTTAATATTGCAATTACAAGAGGTCATTATTTATATTATTAAAACAGAAAAGAAGAAAAATTGTACAGAGTATATCAAATTTGGTAAGTAAAATAAATATTAATTTTTAATTTAAACACTTTCAGGGCAAGTTGCAATGGTCATTTAGAGGTTGTGAATTATTTGATTGACCGCGGAGCCTCTGGACGAGCCAACGACAGCGGTTGCAAATGGACTCCACTATACGCTGCCTGCTTGTATGGCTATACAAAAATAGCCGAAGTATTAATGAAGGTAATGCCTTTAAGTAAACGTATTGGTTATTAATCAGATGTGTTTAAAACAGCTATCCTTTGTACCTTGTACTTTTTACCATTAATTTCCTCTTCAGTCCTCTGAGACATATAATTAAAACATTTCAGAGTTCTTGTTCAGTAGAGCTTTTTATCATGTTGTTGACTGATAGTTTTCATTCCATGCTCTCTGGTGTATTTGCAAGTTCAAAGTATTTAAATTACTGTGCAATTAGTGTGGAAATTCCTCTATCAAGATTTCAAAATTGATTTTACAAGAATTCTAAAATATTGTTTTTACCCTGGTGCATTTTCAAATCTGTGTGTTAGCATTTGTTCAATAACCATATAAAAGGCATTTTTATTTATCCTCTTAATCCCATGATCTTTGCACCTGAAGTATTTTAATTCCTTAGGGATTTGTCATAAACCTAGGTACACTGCTTGGATATATATATATATATATACTGTTTATTAAACCATATTTAATCAACCTGTTCTTAACCTCTCAATTGTAATGCAATTTAAATGCCAACATCCTGAGTTCTTCATCTTGAGACTAAAGAACATCTAGATGCCTGGAAAAACCTGTATACAGTACTGCATTATTACTTTATAAAAAAAATAATATATTCATTATAAAATTTTGATTTAACAGTCAAATATTAACATTTATTATTGGTTAATTGATTATTGATATGATATATTGATTAAATAATTATTGTAATAATATTCTGGACACATATGTGTTCTTCTGTTACCATATTATTCAATTAATGCTTGATCATTTTTTCCTGTTAGTATTTTCCGTCGATGGCTGGTGATATAACGCAAGATCAACAGTTACCCTTGCACGCAGCAGCAGCAGGAGGCTACACGGAGATTGTCAAACTCCTCCTCTATTACGACTACTCTGTCATTAATGAAAAGGTAAAATTGTTATATATTGAATAATTTGACGCAGCCGGAATGGTTTGGATTCTTAACCTCGGGGTCGGTTTGACGCAGCCGAAATGGTTTGGTTTCCTAACCTCGGGGTCGGGGTTTCAATTCCTCGCTGTTCATTTCGCTTGTGTCTTTGAGCAAGGTACTTTATCTACATTGCTTCTCTCCACCCAGGAGTATAAATGAGTACCGGTGGGGTTGCCTGCTCCTGCACTGATTACTACAGCAGCATTTAAGCATGTAGACCCAGTGACCAGGGGAGAGAAGGGCTTCGTATTTGCAAAGAAAGGCGCAATTTAGAAATATATTTTGCATGAGTAGTGGTGGCCGAGTGATTAGGACACTTTTCTATGAGTATCAGATACAGATTACTTATTACAACAAAAGGTAGTATGAAATTCTTTTTCCAATTTGAGAAGAAAACATACATTGAAAGAAAGAGTGAGTGGGATACGCACAAATTCTGAATTTGAAAGGGATGGGGGGAGTGGGGTTGTGAAAATTGGAAATGCGGAATTAAATCCCTATTCCAGTCTGCACCCCCCCTGTCTGCACCCCCCCTCCATCTGCACCCCCACCCCCACAGCCTATGCTCATGAAAGACATAAATAAATTGCACTAAAACATACTAAAATACTGACTTAAATACTGAAAATATTTATAAAATGTTTATAACCTGGTTTCAGATATAAATGATCAGATACTGACACATATGTATTGATACCTCAGTTTGAGTTCTCTTCTGAAAATTAACAATTTACAATGAAATTGAGTGTGAATAATGGGTGTAGGAAGCTATAACTCACAAAATTGAATTTACTATTTAAGGTATTAATTTACAGGTCACTGAAAATAATTGCATAAAACCTAATCACATAAATCATAAAATGAAAATTGTAATAATGATAGACAACAGTAATAGACGACAGTTGGGTTTTGATTGCCTTAAATAAACTGATGGCGCCATACTGCCATCATCATATTAACACTTTTCTGGTAACGGACATTCATTCAACATTTTGTACATCTTTTTTATTAGGCAGTCTTGAAAAGTAATGTAATTATTTGTTGGAAGCCCTACATTACACCTGTCAATCATGCTAAAAAAGTGTGTTTCTCTGAAATGTGGGGGGCTGATTGGGGCAAGAAGGTGAAGTGAGAGGGCTCAATGACTATGTGAAAGGTGCTCTCTCACGTAATATGGTGATTTTTAACTACATGAGCGTGATTTTTTTTTATGTGGGGGGTGGTGACTGGGAGGGTGCAAGTATTTTTGGGAGTGGTGTGTGCCCCCGCGCATCCCTAGATATGCACCCGAGTACATTAGTATTTTTGTATCACATTCACAGTTATATGAGCCCATGAAGCACAAGTTGGTTTGTACATTTTATACTGATTGGCTGTTCATCTTATCTGCAGTAACCATATCTACTAATATTATACAACACACTATAATTGAATATAATATTAAATATATTGAACAAAAAATAATTTAAAGAAAAAAATCTATAGGTAAACAGTACCGTAAGTAATCAACAAGTTGACTATCACTGCTTTTCTAAACCCCTGTCCATACTATCATATTTTATGTGACTAAAAATGTGACATGCCCATATTTGGGTGTAATATGACATCATCATACCATATATGGGCACATCACCCCATATTTGTCACATAAAATTTGATAGTGCGGACTGAACTTTAATTAATTATATATTCAGCATTTTTATTTTATGAGGCATTGTTCATGGAATGGAGTTTTATTATCAAGGGAATCCTAAGATAAGGGTTGTATATACCCATTAACACTACCAGTATGTGTAATAAGATTGTGAACTTTTGAAATCAAATATATTGGTTAAATATCATAAAGTTAATCAAATGATTGAATAATCAAAAAGACACACTTTGAAATTTTGTCTCTCGATTGGTTGAAAACAGGTCATGTGTGATTCAATTAAAATGACTATTCAATGTTTTTTGAGTGATTTGTCAATTATTGTTGAATAGTACATTTTCACCTATCAAACAACAAAATTCTCAAGTGTAACGCGAGAAAAAAAATTACCTCGTACATGACCCTGCAAATGGACGCTGACAACTTCTGGCAGGCATTGCCTTCTGTAAACCTATGCAGTCCCTTGGTACTGGCCCATTTGTGCTCTTGAGCGAATAATGATTGTCTGTAACTGACTGAAAAAGTTGCCAAATCAACAAAAAAATTCAATAGATACTGTATGCACTGCACCTAGCAGTATTTTGCTAGTGTCAGCATTGAGGAACCTAAATACATATGCAGTATTTTGCTAGCTTCAGCAGAGTAGGTTGATTCCTAGGCCTAGCCTAGCTAAGGTCCTAGGGCCAGATTTATCAAACTAGAAATCAGCTTAAATTTGTCTTAAGTCCATTTTTTTGATTAAGTCAAATTTATCCATATTACTTAGCTTAAAAATTGCTTAAAATTAGAAAGTCGATTGTACGTTGGCACAATCTAAGACGATTTTCAAGCCAAGATTTTGCTAAAATTGGTTAATAAATCAGCTTAGGATATTTTTTAGGGACATCTTAACTTTTTTGACTTAAGACATTTGCTAAGCTGAGATTGATAAATTCCAGGCCTAAAAGCATAGTTAAGGCTAGGCCTAGGCATATTTTTATTTGGAGTAGTTAGTCACATATGTCACACTCATTGAAAAAGCTCACGGTGTGTTGTATAAAACAAATGAGTGTTTCTCATGCATACAATGGGGTAGAATATTTCATGAGGTGAAAAATTTGTTGAATATTACATCTCCCTGAATAGAACATCCAGTCTTTCACCTCATGAAATTTTCTACACCATTACACTCATTGCATTCATTATTTCTACACTAAGACATTTTGTTTATTTAGGAAAATCGTATGATTGTGCGCATTCTCACAAAACGAAACAGTGCAGGCCAATGCACAGGTCACCTAGAAACAAATGTCATTGACTAAGGGTGGGAATAAGTTTAGATGGACAGAGAAGGCACAGTATCAGTTAATACAAATCTGGTCTGCGGCCGGCCCTGTACAACTTGACAATCAAGGCATTTACAATCATGTTACAGAAGTGAATTATCAGGAAGAAAAAGTAAGTTGTAAAACTTATGATTGAAACCCATCCACGACACACTTTAGTGAGCATCAATGCTCTAATAGTATCCCAATTTAAAATCCTTAAAAGTTTATAATCCAGTTCAATTTTGCTATTATTACAGCATCGGCAGGCAACTGAATTTTATTGTATTTCTGTAAATAACTTTATACAAATTCAATTAAACGAACCTCTTAAGAAAATTCCACTTCCAACACCGCATCCCTCCCCCTTTCAGCAATATTGTCAGGTTGGTAGGCTTCTTCTTGAAATAGCTATATTGAAGGTTGTTTTTGTGATTTTTCTATTTTTCCTTAACAAAATCAATAAAATTAGATGAAACTCTGTGCTGGTCTAGGCTTCCATGTGAAAAGGAAATTGCAAAAACAGTGCTACTGAATAAGAATGTCAATTTGGAAAATATAACTACACTTGGACAGAAACAGCTTAACATGGAAGGAGCATAAAAACTTTGCTAGAATCATGTCATGCACTCAAAAATCATGTGAAAAGTCATGCTTAATCTTTATTGATGCTCGAAAATTTATGTCATCTTTAAGTAGATATTGATCAGCTTTATTCCACGAAATGAATAACATGAAATTAATTTTTTTTTTTGTCATATGATGATAAGTAACAAAAGTGCAACCCAAAGGTTAAAAGTTTAGGTTCAATTATAATTCAGTATGTACAACTTCAAAGCAAGGCTACACCAATAGTTATATTATCATTTGTGGCAAAGACAAGCCAAACCAGTCACTCATCGCACTGAACTACCCTTTGTATATCTGTACATCATGCTATGCAGCAATTTGTATTGATTTGTTTCTGCCAGAGAAATGCCCGAAATCATAAACTTTGAAGGCTGATTTCTCAAATACAGTATTGTTCTTTAAACAGCTCTATGTTGAAACGCTTGTAACTTCATAAGGAAATGTCGGATCTAAATGATTATTTTACCATTTAATAGCTTATTTTGCTGTTTAACCCTGTATAATCAATTAAAAGTTTATTTTTACAAGAGACTGCTCTGTGTCTTTGCCACATTTTGTGGAAGCACATTGATAATGTTAGCTATTAGGATTGCATTTGTCAGAAGAAGTTTGTGTGTCTATTTATCCTTGATAGTGTAATCCTGTCAACTGAATATTATACATCATTGTTAAGTGGTTGATTCCTGTTCTTAATTAATGCACCAAGTTGCAACAATGCTTTCTGGCAAGATCACTAATAGCTTTAACATAAAACCTCTTTACTTTGCTTCCTAATATAGTACTTTTTGATGATATTTTTCCAAATTGATAAAAGCTTTCTCAAACAGAGATTATCTTCTAATGTTTAATATTTAACTTTGTTATGGTTAATGGAGTACGCAATTTTATAGTGTTATATGCTAAGGTCCCTATGCACTTAGGCTAATAAGTACAAACGATGTAGCTGGAAAATTTCATCAGGAAAAGTTCTCATAGAGAAATGTTTAAAAAATGATTTGTGTTTTCTTTAAAGCCAGCAACCAACCACTGTATTGCCATACAGTATATGTCCTTGTCGCTTAACCATGATTTAAGATTGGCCAGCACCTGTTGAGTCTGAATGTAGGTAAGAATGGCCCCGGAAAAAATGGCCCCGGAAAAAATGGCCCCGGTAAAAATGGCCCCATAGGACAGGTAGGTAAAAATGGCCTGAATGAAAAATTCGGTAATAGAAATGATATATATTTTTTTAAATCTTCAAATATTTAAATACTGTATAAGCAAGAATTGAATCAAGAAATAAAAAATGGCCCTCAATTATAAAATTAAAGAAAAAAAAAAAATAAATAAACAAATGTTGTAAACTACCTTGTAGCAAAAATTTAATTAATAAATCAACATAAAGAATATGCATATTTGAGAACTAAAATAAATTAGTTTTTAGCTCCTATGAGTAGCTCTGGGAGTAGGTCTAAGTATTTTTAAAAGTTATTAATATTATTAGATATTATTGCTATATTTGCGGCAAATTATTAATATTATTATTATTATTAATGGCTCTGATGGGAGGCTCTAAAACATTGATTCGGCACCAGATTTAAACGACGAACTTGCAGGGAATGTTATAAACCATTTTCGCGAAATTTGAAATAAAAATTCCAATAACATGACGAATACCAACGATGGGGACTTTCAGAGGCCTGGCATTTCGCAGTACGTATTACTGTCATGGATAACATTAACAACAAACATTTAAAAACGGAAAAACAGTACAGTAAAATGTACAATAGTCAGCGAGTTTGTCAAACAAGGTATAAAAAAAGTCTCGCCTTGGGTAGCATCTTTTTAAAGAAAATCATTAATTTCATTAAAAAAAAAACACAAGTTACTGATTGATTAAATAATTCTATTTTAAATAAGAAATGATTATGCACAGTAAAGGTAACATAGGACAACATTTAAAAGATCATTATATTAGTGCTACTGAAAATA